AAATTAATGAGAGAATAGCGGACAACTATCCAAGCTACCTGGGAACCCAGGTCTGGCACAGAGTGGGGCAGAGAGTCAAAATCTAACACGAAAAACATGTGTGAAACGATCCATTCACCTGTATTTGTTAAAGAGATCCCAGAGCCGGGTCTGTCTATGAAGGTGAAAGCAACAGATCCACTCATACAGACTGGAGGGCCGGAGAGATGGCTTAGTAGGTAAGATGCTTGTGGCAGGAGTGTGGGGCCCTGAGTTCAAATACCCAGAACCTATACAAAGCCAGACGAAGTAGTGAGCAAGTGTAACACAAGCATTTCTATGGTGAGGTGTGAGGCATAGACAAGGGAACCTGCAGAAGTTCAAGGGTCAGCTAGCCTGGCACATGCAGCAGACAATGAGTGACCATTTCTCAAGCAAAATAGAAGGGAAGGACGAATATTCAAGGTTGTGCTCTGATTTCCACTGATGCCCCAACACCTGCACCTCTTTCTCTCTCTCTCTCTCTCTCTCTCTCTCTCTCTCTCTCTCTCTCTCTCTCTCTCACACACACACACACACACACACACACACATACAGGAACTACAACAATAGTCATAATAATAATTAGAGAGAAATGTTTGGGATTTAGTCAAGGATATGTTTACATTTATTTATTTGTGTGAGTGAGTGGGGGTACAGGGGTCAGAGGACAGTTCTCAGCAGTCAATTTTCTTCCTCCATGTAGATCTCAGGAACTGAACTCAGTTCATCGGGCATCAAAGCAAGTTGCTTCAGCCACTGAACCATCTTGCCAGCCCAGAAAAATGTGCCATCACCAATGTTTTCTAGGACAGACATGTTTGCAGATACTCATACCTTAGTTGTGTAAGGCAAAGCACCCAGGCCACATCACCTGTCTTCCTGTTACCCCTCTTAGCTCCCACTCCATTGAGTAGCACAAATCTTTCTGACCCAAAGTCAGAGCCATCTCTCAACACATCCATCTGCAAACCACATGGAAGACGAAAAGTCTAGTGTGTGTCAGTGGCCAGTGGGAGGCCCTACCTATCTCCAACCCCAAACTGGGAAGACCTAGCATCCAGATGCACATTTCCACTGCACTAGAAAGGAGTCAGCCATTTATGGATACATACCGATTTAGGAGCTCCCAGGTACAGGCATGCCCCCTACTGAGTATGCATTTTTTTTCATGTCAAATAAACTTTACTGTTTGTGTGGGGAGGATGTCTATGCATGCATATGTATTCATGTGTATGCTCACAAGTGTGGAGGCCAGGGGTCAGCATCACATATCTCCCTCATTCATTCTCCACTTAATTTATTTGTTTATTGATTGAGATAGCCTTTAACTGAACCTAGAGCTCATCAATCCTGCTAAACTGTCTTGCCAAAAACCCATAGAGATATTCCTGTCTCTGCCTCCCTAGTTCTGATAGTATAGGCAAGGGTCATCACACCCAGCTTCTTTTACATGGATGCTGGGAATCTAAAACCAGGTTTATTCTTGCATGGTAGGCACCTTGCTGACCAAGCCATCACCCCAGCTCAATGTTTACAGTTCTTTATGGACCAATTGTTAGTTATTTTTTAAATTAATTTTGGGGGTGGCATATGCACCCTTGTGTGTCATTATACATGTATAGAAATCAGAGAACAATGCTTGGGGAACAAACTCTGGTCATCAGGCTTGCATGGCCACTGCTATCACCCACTGAGCCATCTCTACAGCCCTTGATTAATTATTAAATACCAACTACACTCCTAACCCCATGATAAGAACAGCAGAGTTGTTTAAGCCTATCAAAATTTTGAGAAGCCAAAAGCAGGGAGAATGATTCATAACAGGATTCAAGTGGACCTGTGACAAATGTCTCATATTGCCAGCCTGTTGACACAATACGGAAGCCTTGTGCTTGGAACGACTGTCTCTTTCACCAGTTATACACCATCATCTATGAGACTACCACAAGTTAGCTGAGCTTTTCACCCAGTGCTGTGGCTTTGGACAAATAATGGATTGCTAAAATAGAAGTTTGCAAAACCACTCAAGGCAGCAAAGGGCTTTGCAAATTGCTCAGACATGTGTTTGGCTGTTCCAGGGTGTTTCTCCTGGAAAGGGGCCATTCTGTTGCTTAGAAGCCAATAGAAAGAAGCATGCCAAACTGACAGTGAAGAGAAAGAAATGGGATTTTAATGTCCAGAAATGACAGAAAAAAGAATAGTAATGGTCTCACATCAGTCATTGGATTGTTCTTGCAGAAAGGAGGAAGCTCTTGCCTTCCAGAATGCAGCCTTCTCAATTAAGTCTTAAACGAAGAAATAGCACTGACCTTACATCCATCTACACCTCTCTTGGCTGTATGCTGTTGCTCACATAATGGTGTGATAATTTCATGGTTTGGTTCATGGGCTTCAGAGCAGAACCACTTACTAGTCAGGTTATGTAACTGTGCAAACCCTCAGTTTCCCATCAATAAAATGGGATGGTAGTGAAATGGTTATAAGGACTAAACACTTCCATATGACATAATTCATGTAATACACTTAGGATAATACATATCATATTGAATACTGCCCTATTGTGTTTTCAAGACGTCTTCAAGTGTCTGGAGACACAGTACCGTCTGTAAAGTGCTTATTATGCAAGTATAAGAACCTAAATTTCATCCCCAGCACCAGTGTAAAATCTGCACAAGGCAGCATGTGTGTGAATCCCACCACTGGAGAGGCAGACACAGAAGGATTCTAGACAGGCAGTCTAGGCAATCAGGGAACTCCATGTTCAATGAGAGACCCTGCATCAACAATCCACCACAGTGTACATGCACATAGGTGTACATGACCCACATGAGAGGCCCCTGCGTATTTTAGGGTTAAAGATGAATCCAGAAGAACCTTGATTTGTTTTTTGTTTGTTTGTTTTGTTTTGTTTGTTAGATTAGTTGATTTCTCTAAATGGTTTGGGAATTTACCTTTACTTTTCTGGAAGTTATTTGTCAAGATTTCTTTCTTTCTTTTCACTTTTTTGTTTTTATTTTGAAAGGGTTGTGCTATATTACCCTGGCTGGTCTTGAATTCACAATCATTCAGCCTTATTCAGCCTAAAAGTGCTGGACCACAATGAAGACCACAACCATGCTTATAGATAAAAATATCCTCGACTACCACCTGGCCCTAAAATGGTCTTGGACTCAAGGCGCTTCGGCCTTTGGAGACAAATAGTCTCAGAGTGAATGGGGTGGTGACTGTAAGACTGGCTGAGCATTTCCCCACTTCTGTACATCTTAATACTTTAATGATAAATAATGTAAAAAGTATACTTCTGTAATATATTAAAATTCACATTATTCAAAGTGTCTTATAAATAATTAATAATATTTATAGTTTAAAACTATGGACATAAAATAAAAATAATTATTTTTATGTTGTTTTTGTTGTGTGTGTTTGTTTTTGGTTTAAATGAGCTCCCATTTATCCCTGACTGGCATGGAACTGCTAGGTTGTCAGTGATGACCTTGAAATTTCTGATCCTCCTGCCTCAACTTCCTGAGTGCTGGGATCACAGGAACCAGCATTTAATGAATGCTAGGCTTCAAACAATCTATGACCCCTGTCAAATGCTTTTTTAAAAATTGTTAATATGGTTGCCTCCCTTTTTCATATTCTTTTCTGTTGTTGTTTTGTTTTGTTTTTCGAGACAGGGTTTCTTTGTATTGCATTGGAGCCTGTCCTGGAACTAGCTCTGTAGACTAGGTTGGCCTTGAACTCAAAGAGATCCGCCTGCCTCTGCCTCCCCAGTGCTGGGATTAAAGGCATGATCCACCAACTCCCGGCCCTTTTTCATATTCATAACTGAATTTTTTTCTCATTGATTGTTTTACATCCTTTTTTACTTTCTTATAAAGGCTTATTTCTTAGTGATCTGGAATAGTTCACTGTTTATGGATGATAAATAGTTACCTTTTTTCCTGAATACAGCTTTCCAATCATTTATTGCTTCTGTTTTTAATTTATAGCAGACTTTTACATTTTTCTTTTACCTGAAATAAGTGTGTGTGTGTGTGTGTGTGTGTGTGTGTGTGTAGTCACTTTCATCTTTTATTTTTAACCTTAAAAACTTGCCTTTTGGCAACCTTACTTAGATGAATCCTGACTGTGGCTTCCTTTCTGGGTGAATCTAGATTGTGACCAGTTGTCAATGAAAGATAACATCACTCCCTTGAATCCACAAATTCATTAAGTATGAAGAGAAAAGCTCTCAGGAAGAATAAGTCATCATTCTAAAATTACAGAAAACTAATTTAAAGGAGAAAACACCAATAAATAATCCCCCGGGAAGAGAACTTTCAAAAGCAACAATAGAAGTCATCCAACAATGTAAACACCCTCTAATGACCCTTCTGAACCTGGAGTTGTGGTGACAGGCTGTAGATTTACTCCTGAATTATTGAGACTTGAATTCTTTGTTCTGTGGATATGCCAAAGGGACTTCTAAGGATTCTGTTCCAATGTGCACAAAGTAATCCTCACTGGACACAATTTTTGTTAATATGGTACCATTCTGCTTTGTTTCATTTTCTTTTGTTTAATTTTGCCTTGTTTGAACTGGGTGTCACTATGTAGCCCACACTGTCCTGAAACTTTCCATGTATCTCAGGCTAGTCCTGAACTAGTGTTCCTTCTGCCTTAGTCTCCTAAGTATTTGGGTTTCAATGTATATCACCATGGTCAACTAACTGTACTGTTGAGTGGCCCTTTCAGTGTGTTCCTATTTCACTCACATTGTCCTCTCTGCCAGCTGTTTTCTCTAGCCTGCCCTTCTGCTTTCTTAAATCCATAGTATCTACCAATGGCTTACATGAGTCAGCTTAAGGATGTCTGTAAGTAGGAATAGCTGGGTAGTAAAGCAGACATTTGGTACCAACTGAATGTCATTCACAAAGCAGATCATTGCCCCTGTCAAAACATGAGCAAGCAAAGGGCAGGTGGCATTCACTCACCTGCTGGAGTTTTGTTCCCACCATGGAGGCACTGATGTCAAGCACAAAAACCACATTCTTGGGTAAAGGAGGGAGGTCTTTAGGGGCAAAGTAGTGAACAAAGTAACCATTCAGAACCTGGTGGAGGAAAATAAGGTAACCAAAGTAGCATTCAGGATGAGGAAGGAAATCACTAGTCTTGGAATTTCTAAAACACAAAGATGGCATGAAACATAAAGACATTAGACAGTCTAAAGTTGCATTCTACACCAAGAACAAAATTATTTACAGTCTTGATCCCTCCATTAGAATTGATTGCTAATTAATAAAATAAAGAAGAATCATGTCTTTTAAAAGTATATCATGGACTGGGGCGGAGGGTAAATCTCGATGATAGAGTGCTTGCTGAGGATGTGTTTATCCCAGGGTACAATTTATGTCACGTTGAAAATAATATAAATGTATACGTAGTTATAGATACATAGACCATGACAAGACATCAACTTTAATTATGCATCTTCTTCTGACCTTGCTTCTTGAGAATCCTGCTTCTTTCATTATCTATTTTTACTAAGCATCTTACACAGGGAAGGATCAAGGTTGTCTGCATTCCCTGTGCACATCCACATATTTTAATATTCTCACCTTGTCTCTGTAGCAATACAACCTAAAGGGAAATAAGCTATGGAACAGACTCTTTTAATTAAAGTTGAAGAAGTGCTAAAATTCTAACCTCATCTAAAACACCACAGGGAAAATTATAGATTTCATTTACTGTACAAGTTACTGAAGCACGAAATAGGTACCCTTGGCAGCCAGCAAGGAAGAATCACTAGTCTCTTTGAAGACATATTTTGGGTTTAAAGAGTTTTACTGAGAACCAGAAATATCTTTCACCTTATGTAAGTATTGGATCCATAGTTCTGAACTGAACAGAAATGATAGAGCTCCACATATAGTGGAATCATGGAAGTCATTACCTGGATGTCACCAATGGTCTGCTCTCTCTTGACATCGTATCGAATGATGAAATCTCCGAAAATTCCATTCTGGGCAATCTTAGCTTGTTGTACTACAGTAGGCTTAAAAACAACTTTGGCAAAAGTTTCATTTTGGTTAATGACAGTAGAAGGGGGAGGACCCACATCACCTGCAAGTAAGATATAAATGCAATAAATAGTTGAGATTATAAAGACTTTTCCTGAAAAGAATTACCTTCTTGCATAGACACAGGATGATAGACTTCCATCTATTGCATATTGGAAGTTCTCATGGCATCTCCTAAGAACTTTAGAAATGGTTTATTTGTGCTCATTGTTTGAGTGGAAGTTGGTCACATCACAACCAACCTCAGATAGGAGAGAGATGAATGCCCTATTTAGCCCACTTTCTCCTTTTTATCCAGTCCAGGATCCCATCCCATGGAACAGTGCTACCAATTATGGGGTTAAGAAGAAAGCTGGTACCCGGAAAACTCCCAGGAATCCACGAGGATGACGCCAGCTAAGACTCCTAGCAATAATGGAGAAGGTGCCTAAATTGGTCTTCCCCTGTAATCAGACTGGTGACTACCTTAATTGTTAACATAGAACCTTCACCCAGTAACTCATGGAAGCAGATTCAGAGATCCACAGCCAAGCACTGGGCCAAGCTCCAGGAGTCCATTTGAAGAGAGGGAGGAGGGATTATATGAGCAACCAGGGTCATGATCATAATGGAGAAACCCACAGAGACAGCTGATCTGAGCTCTTGGGAGCTCATAAACTCTAGATCAACAGCTAGAGAGTCTGCATAGGACTGACCTAGGCCCTCTGCATGTGGGTGACAGTTATGTACCTTGGTCTGTTTATGGGGCCCCTAGCAGTAGAACCAGAATCTGGTGCATGAGCTGCCTGTTTGGATCCTATTCCCTGTGGTGGGATGCAGGGGGAAGAGCTTGGTCCTGCCTCAACTTGTTATGCCATGCTTTGTTGACTCCCATGGGAGGTGTTGTCCTCTCCAAGAATTGGATTGGGAGTTAGAAATGAGGTGGGGGAGTAAATAGGAGGACGGGAGGGAGAAGAAACTTTTGTTGGCAAGTAAACTTAATGAAAAAATATACTGATCCACTTTGTACTAGGTGTGAGTCTGCATATGTCACCAAGCCACCTGTAAGATACATTAATAGTAGTACTAATGTCATGCTCCATTGAAAAAGATCCAGTGACATAGCATATTTATCACCATCCTAGTTCATGCTAAGCATCACATCAAGCAATGTTATTATCAAACTTCAGAATTTGCATAGTAGAAGGAGGAATTCAATGTAGATCAGAATGATCTACAACTATCACAATGGAAAAATCTACATGTAATGCTGACATTCATGTGAGGGAAAGCATCAGAGCGGAGAATGCATTCTGTATTCTTCACTTACTTAGAGTTCAAAGTCAAATACTACTTGTCCAAAGGCAATGTAGTAGGCTGAGTGCTCCTTTGGTACTCAATTAAAGAGTACAAAAGAACTTTGATGGGAAATGTCCTATGTTTGGTATACAATGTAGCAATATGGGTGTCCTTAATGTAAATATGTGAATGTTTATGTGTGTGTATATAACTCATCAATACTTTCACATATGCATTTTATTCTCTTTTTTAAATTTAAACATGGGACTTGGAGAGTAGAATGAATGGAACAGATACTCTGGTATGAAACATAACATGCATAGCTTGCCAAGTGAACCCTTCTCTGTTCTTTTCCTTGGAGTAAATGTGTTTGTGGATCACTTATATGGGGATTAAGGTATCCAGTGACATTCCAGCTGGCAGAATTAAGGTCAGGGATAGAGTTACTGGGAAGCAATTGCCATGCCACATCAGTTAAATTAAAGAAAATTGTTATAGTGGCACCTGCTGCTGTCACCCCACACTTCAAGTGTCAACGCAAACCCTGGAAGAGTCACCTGCAACATTAAAGTAGATCATTGACTTAGAAGAGCAGCTTAGCAACCCTGTGGAACATTCTAGAAATGTCAGTGCTCAGGCCCTTCCCAGAAACTCTCAATCAGAAACTCTGGAGAGAACTTGAACAAGTCCTGTAGGTGACTTGGGTTTCTGAAAATGGAAACTGAAAGATATGTCTTTCACCCAGACCTCATACCTTACATGCAGAGCATAGTCATGACATTTGTTATATGTAAGTACACCTACACCAACATTCCACAATAATCTAACACTTCCTCTTTAAACCATAACATGTACCCACTTTATCTTTCTCCAAATCTCTCTCATAAAATTGCTTTTCACAAATTCCCCAACTTAATCCATTCATAACAAAATAAAAGCCCTGGTAATTTAAAGACTATAACTTCTTTCTTCTGATTCTTTGATACAGCCCACAAGAAAGGATGTACTATGTTTGTTGCCTATGGACTCTGATGTTTTTCATTCATGATGAAAATTCATGAGTTTCATATAAATGCACTTCCTTCACACACTCAAAGAGTGGGTGGACTCTCTGATTATTCAGGAGGAAGCCAAATTCCTGATGCTAGCTCCCAACCACTAAGTGCCACATAGTAAAAGTAGTACAACAGGGTTTCTACCACTATGGGGAACAATTCAAAAGCAGTATCTTTTAAAAATTAGTATTGTATAGGGGTGCACAGGTGTATTAGGGCATGCATGCGTTGGTCAGAGGACAACTTTCAGGAGTCATTTCTGTCCTTCCCTCTTGGGTTCCAGGGCTTAAACTCAAGTTGTCGGGCTTACATGGCACGTTCTTTCTCATTCTGACCTGAGCCACCTGCCCGTATCACTAGAAAATGAAGATGTCTTGGGCTAAGAAGTTGCTATAGCACAAAGGCAAGTGCTGATCTTTGGCATCCATACAGAAATATGGGCATGGTAATGAGTGTCTGTAGTACTAGTGCTGGGAGGTAGAGATGGGATTCCTGGGGTTCTCTGACCAACTAACCTAGTCAATCAGTGAGTTCCAGGTTCACTGAGAAATTCTGTCTTTAAAACCTGAGCTGGCTTTTGGGAATCTATGCCCCATAATAGATGGCCTCACCCAGCCTTGGTACAAAGAGAGGAACTTAGTCCTACCTCAATTTGATATGCCATGTTTTGTTGACACACACCCGTGGATACTAGTCACAAATAGATATTCTTTTAGACAACCTTGAATGCTGGGGGAAGGATGCCCATTACTACATAAAGTGTAGGAGCCAAAGAACCATGTTCAAGGACACTGGCTGGAAGCTACAACCCCAAAAGCTGGTGAGCAGAGGGATTCAGTGTCCTGTGAGCTTTGTGTTTGGCTACTGTCAACCCCAAAGCTGCCAATACCTGGGGTTTTTACAAAAGGTTCTCCAAACAAACACTGCCTGCTCATTTCCCCTGGAAAGAGGCTAGACAGTCTGGGTGTGTTTATAAAAATTCATCACCTAAATACTGTGTTAAATTTCGGGCAGTCAAAAATATGGTGACTTACTGGGCAGCTAAAATGTAATGGTCCCAATAAAGACAAAGGTCATGCAGATCAGCTGAATATTGAAAGAAAAACATTGAAAGCAGAGGCAATGAGAAGAAATTGGTTACTTTTTACAAGTCTCTTATTAAACAGATTTCCTGTTGGTGTGATGGTTACTATTGATTGTCAACTTCACTGGATTGGCAGTCACCTAGGAGACACTTGTGGGCATGTCTGTGAGGATTCATCTATAGGGAGCTAACTGTTGTGAGAAGACCTGTCTTGAATGTGGGAAGCATCATTCAACAAGCTGGAGTCTCAGGCTGAACACAAAGGATGAGTGAGCCGAGATCTGTTCTCTGTTTTTGATAGCAAATACAATGTGATCAGCTGTTTTGCCCTCCCGTCTGCATGACTTCTTGCACAATTAACTGGAGCTCCTTGAATGGGAACCAGAGTAAGCCCTTCATCCTATGTTGCTTCTTGATTGGTCTAGGCAATTAGAGAAAAGTAACTAACACAGTTGGTGTGGGGATTTTTGTTTTGTTTTGTTTTTGGAGAAAGCACGATAGCATCATACAGCATAGAAGAATAATGAAAATTTGTGTTTTAGAACTCAAGAGGTCTTTTCTTTTTATAGCTAGGGGGTGTTTGCCCAAATTTCCTAAGAAGTTTGCTTTCTTCACACTTCTTTAGGTTTCTTCCTCCCTCAAGTAATTTATTACTGACTCTCAACTTTCCACCTTTGAATATGAAGAAAGCTCATACATGTTGAACACTTAATGTGAAAGTGATTGTCATATGCTTAGGTGGCTGAGCAGGTAGACAAAGTAGCCTTCCATGAGAACTGAAGATACCATCAGGGAAGTATGTCGGCTGACACAGAAGTTGACTCTCTTATTTTAGCCACAGCTGTGATGGATGTTTTCATTCACACAATGATATTCACTTCACACACTAGGAGAATCAAAGAAACAAAGAACCAAAACTCAAGGTCCTAAAGGAAGAACAGGCTGTTCCCACTATCTAACTAAAGGGAGAGGGCCAGACTTAGATGACACATTCATATCTAAATATGCAGTCCACAGATGGCCTCAACCAAACTATAGTCAGAACAAGGAAGGTGACATGGGCTTCTATGCCAGGACAAAGAAGGAAAACAAAACCAATTTGGGAGCCAAATGATTCACACCTGAGTCACTTCTGAGCTAAACAACACTGAAAAACTTCACCTAACAATTGCTTGTTTTCCTGGCCAAAGTTCAGAGATTTCCACAAGGTCAAACAGGGCTATGCCCTTCCAGCTGCTGAAAGGCAGCTGGATCCAGGGAAGACTGTAGAACTGGGGGCTTGGTGGTGAGTCACAATACAGCCCTTTAGTAACGGACACTTTCCGGATTTAAAAAAATCAAAATACAGGCTGTCCACTTCCACTTGAATTTTAGACAAGTCACCAGTAGTTGTTAGTACATCCAGCTACACAGAAAATGTAACTGGGCATCAAAATTTCACCCAGCAGCCCTAACAAAATAAGATTTAATCTAGAATTTTTTTTGAACCAATGTCTTCTAGAACCAAAATGGATAATTATTATGTCTGCCCTCTAATCCCTCCATCATGACAAAAGGAGAGATAGACCTCAAGGCATGCTGAAAACTTAATAGCTCTTTATTACAAAGCTATTTCTTCCTTAATTC